TTTAATATTTTAAGATGAAATTAAATTATTAAAATAATAATTATTAGATTATTAAAATAATATTAAAGTAAATATTGAAACTATATTGGGTTTTCGTCGTGTTGAAGTTGTCTTTAAAAAACTACTAAATGCAGAATGGGCATATAAATTTAACGATATATGCATCAAAGAAAGCCTCGTTCCAAACTATATATATATATATATATATATATATATATCAATGATTGTGTGTATGTGTGTCTGTGTTTGTGTATGTGTGTGTGAGAACTACGCCATGTATCGATTTACACGGTGTTTTATTTTCTTTTTCAAGTTTTCCCTTTATCTAATTAGCTTCTTTTTTTTCTAATCCAAATCTTAAATTAAATTTTCAAGAGTCATTTTTATAAGTTTTTAAAAGAAACTAATTAAAAAATTGGAAAGCTTGAAAAAGAAAAAAAAAGCTGGTATATTTGTCAGGTCAAACAAAATCCAAATATATTGTTTGAATACACACACACACTACACACACACGCACACACACACACACACACACATATATATATATTTATTTATGTATTGAGGGACGAGGTTTTCTTTTATGCAAACATCGTTCAAAATTTCTATTTCGCGTTAATAACTTTCTTTACTAACAACTCAACACTTCTGAACTTTTCAAATTGATATTTATTTAAAACGAACGACTAACAGCGCTGTTTCGAATAATTCATCATCAGAGCCTATGTGAAAGTGAATATTGCAAAATATGAAATTAAAATAAATAAATATGAAATATGCAAAATATGAAATTAAAATAAATATTAAATGTACGTGAAATATAATGGAATTATTAAAGAAATGACAGGTTAGGAAATTATATAAAGATGGTAGAAATAAATTTTTATTGTAAAACTTTGAATGCAATTAAAGCGAACCATTATTAAAATAATGAAAAGTTAAATAAATTAATATTGCAATTTAATTAGTATAAAATTTAAAAACAAAATTTTAAAAGTTACTCATTGCACAGCGTCGACACAAATTATTCAAAAACTTGAAAAATATTATAAAATATTTCTAGAGGGAGAAAAGTTCTGGAGAACCGCATCGCCATAGACGAAGAGCGCATGGTAATTCTGGAGAAAGAACTCGAAGTAACCATTTTATTTGGCGAAGATGCCGACAGAAAGTATGAAGAAGTTAGTAGTTGATGTAATCGAAGTTTTAAAAAGTTGTGATGGTTTTCAAATAATATGACAATTTTTTGCTTGGTTTCCTCATAGTAATAGTAATGTCATTTTATGTAGCGCCATGGCAAGCGACTGAGGCGCGTTATCATTATTACAACAAACACACTGTGCTTAAATGCACGTGAATTAACGCATCACACACTTTTTGCATGTGATAGGCGGGGATCTTTTTGCATTCGAACCAGGACACTGCATCAACAATGCCAGGCACCTTAGCCAGTACACCATCGCGCCGCCGCGTCATCTACGTCTAAAGCTTTTTTTTTATTGCTTTTGCCCCATTACAAAATTAAAATTAGTTTAATCATTTACCAACAATTGTTAAACATATTAAACCTGGTAAACAACTTAAACAGACTGCTCGCAAGTTGGCCATCACTGAAGTTGATTTGGAAAGATCAGAAGGAAGAGTTGCTCTTGCGGAGGCGTCAGTTAATTAATTTTCAATTCTTTTTAAATGTGTAAAAAATTTTGTTTTCATCCAAAAAAATTATAAATAACTCGTAAAAAACAGAAAAATAATTGAATTAGAAGATGAATTGAAAGTTGTGGGTAACAACTTCAAATCTTTGGAAATTGTCCAACAAGAAGCAAGTTGAAACATTTTTTTATAGTTTGTTGTGCATTGCTTCTGATAGTTTGCTTGAAAACAAGAGCGTTGATGATTATCATATTTTGTGAGACATCTTTCCAGGTTTAAACTAAAGTTCAAGTGCTATACTAAGTATTCATGCTTTTTTTCTAATAAAAATTGTTCAGGTTCTTTACATACAACTGAGTTGTACGTACAACTATTGAACTTATAAACAATTTTATTTGATCGGCGTTTTTGTTCAGCGCTCCTAACAATTGAGTTTAACACAATATTCTTTTTCATAAAAAAAAGAGTAAAATTGATTTTGACTAGAAGCACGAAAAAAATGGAATTTGAAATAAATGACTATTTTTATGTATTTTACAGTTTTTGGTCAGACAAGAAACGTATGAATTAACAATTCAGAATCTCACTGACAGCTTGAAAGATGTAAAAAATATCTTGTTATTAATTCAATGGCTTTTTTAATTACAAAATTTACCAACCTATGAATATATTTTATTTACAGGCCGAGAACCGCGCAATTTTGGCTGAGAGGGCAGTGACAATGTTGCAGAAAGAAGTCGATCGATTGGAAGGCAAGTTCTTTTACATATATTTTAATTAAACAAACAAGTTTAATCGAGCCAGTATTTAAATCAATTGAATCATGCAATCTTCAGATGAGCTGACAAGCGAAAAAGACAAATTCAGATTGGTGCTTGGAGAATTGGATTCAACCATCACCGAGCTCACAGGCTTCTAATTTTGCAAGTGGATTTTCATCCTGTGAATAACTTAAATCCTGTTTCTTACTTTGTTAAATTGAATTTCTTGGTAACTGGACTATATTTTTATAAGTATTTTATAAAATAGATTAAATTGTTGTTTAAATGTAAGTTTTAATTTATTTGAAGATTAAGTGTGTGAAAATATATCGCTCAATAAAATTGTGACGATTCTTCCTCAAAAATGTAACAAAGCCAACAAAGAACTATACTTTAATGAATGTTCTCAAAGGGTGCACGCTTTTTTAAAAATTAAAAATAATGCTATAATACTAATTATTGATGTTAATGACAAATTAAATATATTTCACAAATTTTATTTCTTCCTTGAAAATCATATTGGGAGGTTTGTCTGGCACGATTTCAAAAAGCATAAATAAATTCCGGAAAACACGAACAATAAAAAATATGAATGTTACTGGCGTATGAATATTTAAAAGTGACTCCTAATTCATCCACGTTTTTTTTTGACAATCGTAAAACCAGGCTCTGATGATGACTGTATGTCGAAACAACGTTGTAAGCCTAGGATGACACATAATGATAATAAATATGAATTAAAACAGCTTCGTGTTGTCGAAATCCTTATTAAAAAATTAATTAATGCAAAATGGGCAAAAATATTTAACGATATTTGCATCAAAGAAAACCTCGTTCCAATATATATATATATATATATATATATATATATATATATATATTTATAAGCAATTACTGATGAAAATCACAGCATGTTGCGCTTTAGTTAGCTTCCTCTTTAGTTTTTAGATTTTTCTAACGCTTGATCGTAAATCATTCTTAAGTTTCTTTAGTTCAAAAAAAAATATTTATTTATTTCAAGCATATTAGAACAAAAGAGCTTTTTTTGGTATTTCTAGTGTAAGGGTTCAACAACTGTTCCCAACAATAAATTTTATAATCGTTCCCGAAATGTAGCGATGACTGCGAATGTGGACACTGGCTGTCACGTTGTCTTCGGAGCTTCTGGCGGAGGCCTCGTTTACTGCCGATGTGTTGTCACTTCACCGCTGTTGAAATGCCGCGTCGTTTGTTGAGCACACTGTCAATTCACGTTTGCTGAATTGGTGTGTATCTTGTTGAATGTGTTGTCAATCCACGTTGCTGAACTGACATGTCGTTTGTAGAACGTAAAGTCGCTTCACACCTGCTGAAGTAACGGGTAGGCTGTCGAACGCGTTGTCAACTCACGTTTGCTGAATTGACGTGTCGTTTGTTATCAGGTTTGCCCTGACTAGTATGGAGTTCAATAACCACCAAAGTGGCTGCTTTACCGACTGTACCAACCACCGACGTAACTGCTTCCGCCAACTGCAACCAACCACCGACGTAACTACTACCGCCAACTGCACGAACTACCAGCGTAACTTCGAAAGTTTTTGAACAGGAGATCATATATACGAAAGCATGTGCTTACCACCTTAACTAGTTGTGCAACAATATGAGATACAAATATAAACATTTTTAGTATATCGATAAATATAAATACACCCAATAAATCCATTTTTATAACTTAAAGTAAGGAGGTTAAATATTCAATCAGATGTAAAACAATTAAATAAAACACGACAAAATTAAACAAAGAAAGCATCATACCTACATTGATCTGCATAAGTTTTTTATATATTTTTTAAATTCATTATATCCGGAAAATTTTTTCTTACCTAGTTCCAAGGAATTCCAAAGACGAATTCCTCTTACCGCTCAGTATCTAGCATTTAAATCAGTTCTGCAAGTCATTGGTATCAAAAAACCTTTTTGCCAAGTGTTTGTTGACACCGTTTCAAATGAGCCTAACATGTTGAACTCAGCATCATATAACACTCTATAAACAAAACACAAGGTTAGATACCTATTAAGCTGTTCAATACTGAGGATACTATTATCGGAATATATTGCCAGTGTATGATCAAGGTGTTTCAGAAAAAAACAAACCCTAAGGTATCTTTTTTGTACTATTGTCAATGATTTTATTAAATAATCATAAGAAGCTCCCCAAAAAACATTTCCATATAGGAGATATGGATAGATTAGGGAGTAATATAGCATTTAAATGATTTTAGTACCTAATTTATTGCGTGATCTATAAATAATGCCAGTAATTTTAGATAATTTGCTTACCAACGAATTTATATGCTCATTCCATTTCAAGTCAGACTGTATAATAATTCCCAGAAATTTAGCTGACGAGTTTCTGGATATCACTAAAACACCTATGTGAATGGTTAGGCCAGAGAAGATATCATTGTTCGTTTTGATTTCAGGGCCAAAGACTAAATAGCAGAATTTTTTTGAATTCAGAACCAACCTGTTTCCAGTGAACCAATTGGAGAATTTAACCAGTTGGTTATTCATTTCAGAAAATAGTCTTGTCGAGTCTTCGTCAGACAAGAATATAGTCGTGTCATCAGTAAATAAAATAGTGGTACACACATTTTATATTCATTTATTCATTTCATTTATAAACAGAATAAACAAAAGCGGTCCCAAGATTGAGCCCTGGGGAACTCCAGAAACTATTTCCTTGGGCAACGATTCAACACCTTCAATACAGACATATTGACACCGATTGTATAGGTAAGACTTGAACCAGCTCAGTACTATACCTCGAAAACCATACTTAGACAGTTTATACAATAAAATATTGTGGTCAATTAAATCGATTCATGCTGTGTTTAGATATGTAAGACCACATTCTATCAAACATTAGTTTTTCAAAATTTTTTGAAAATACTGATAGAATCGATATGGGTCTGTAGTTGCCATATTGATTGCAATCACCACCCTTGAAAATAGGTAGTACCTTTGCCAATTTCAGTCTATTTGATTTGTTGAATAAAGTGGCAATTGAACCAGCTATGGGGTAAATAGTACCATTTAATAGTTTAGTGGATAAAAGATCACTGTCAAAACAGTTTTTTAGTTTTAGTCTATTAACAATCATTATCACCTCATCAGGCGATGCATCGGTTGAGAAGAATGATGGAAAATCATGATCCATCATCATCGAACTGTTCAGATTAAATTCTGCAGTGTTATGACAAATAAGTCTATTACATTGATCAATAAAAAATATGTTAATTTCATTAACTCTATTCAATTTTGTTAATCCGTCTCTAAGCTGGTATCATCAGTCAAAACAGGCCAAGAAACATCACCAAGAAGTTTATTTGCTAATCTCACATTTTCGTCCTTCATTACACGGGTTCTTACTGGTTGGCACATGCTCACAACAGATTGTCCACCCCATTTCAGTGAAACAAAAATCGGCATATGATCTGAAAAGTCTTTACATATGATGTCTTTCAATAAGTAATGACGGTCATTGGTGAAGATATTATCAATGATAGACATAGCAGGGTAAAATATACGAGTTGGTTTATTTATAATAGGAAGTAAGTCAAATCCACTTAGGAGATCCAGGAAAGATCGAGACGTATTATTATCAATTGCTAGGTTAATATTGAAGTCACCCAGGATATATACATTAGAACCATTATCTATCTTTAGATGACTACTCAGAAACTCATATAAAGCTTCGAAGAAATCAGTTGTTTTTATTGTTGGACATTTATAAATACTAATAAAGTATTGATTACTGTTATTATAACTAGTTTTAATACCTGACCATACAAAGTGATTAGTATTAAAAGATCGATCGTTATTTAAATTTAGGAAAATTATATCACTATTTAATAAAATTCCTGTTCCGCCTCCTTTTTTGGTGGTTCTATTATTGATTACCAAGGTATGATGTGGCAAGTGTGCATGAAGCAAATCGTGATTTGCATTATCATTCAACCAGGTCTCACTTAAAGCAATGACACAAAAATAAGAACCAATACTATTCACTTATTGAGTTATTTCTTCAAATATATATATATATATATATATATATATATATATATATATGTATATGTTGGTAATAGACCATAAATTTTACAATATTCTATAAATTCTACCAAATGTTTGGCGTTAATATGTTTGTAGTTCGTTAGAATTTATAGAATATTGTAAAAATATATATATATATATCTATACAGCATTGTATTGTATGAATTTTACCGAATTGTTGGCATTAATATTTTAAAGTTTGTCTTTTCAGTTTTCCTTACTAAAGTTTTCTGGAAATTGTTCAATATGTTGAAAATAGAATTATCATAAAAATTTAATGAACCTGTTCTTATCCAAAATAATGACAACAATTTCATTAAATTTTCATGATGAACTTGGATAATTCTATTTTCAACTCGGGCTACTGATGAGTCCCACAAGGGACGAAACGCGTCAAGAGTAAAACGAGTTAGGTGTTCAACAACAAAGATGAAGAATACGATACCAGCTAATAAACTTTGCATTGTTTTAAGAAACTATGTAAACCAAGCATGCACTTAAGATGATTTATAAAAAATAGAAATAAACTGGAAATAAGACCTTATCTGCATCATGAATTCGGATAACAACAGTTTCATTTAATTTGGATGATAAACTAAAAAAATTTATAATACAAAGTTTAAATTGTTTAAAGCCAACAATTCGGTAGAATGTATAAAATACTGTATATGATGTCCTTCCAACACACACAAATATATATATATATATATATATATATATATATATATATATATATATATATATATATATATATATATATATATATATATATATATATATATATATATGTGGTTTATATATATATATATATATATATATATATATATATATATA